GGATGTGAGAAAGGAGATTTTGCGTTGGGTGGGGCTGGTGGAAGGGCGCGAAAATGCAAAAAAAAGCGAAAACAAAAAAACGTCATGAAAACTAGCAAACGCGCCCCCCTTACCTGGCCTTCCATTGAGGCAAACTCTCGCAATTTGTCGCGCTCTCGGATATCCATGGCAAAATAAGACAAAACTTCGAAAAAGTACCGCCTTGGGACGCTTGCAATGTCGAGATACTTTGTCAGCAAGTCTCGAACAGAGCACGGCCTGGGAAGATTGCTGATAAAGGGTGATCCGTGGTCTAGAATTCAAGAAGCACAAAGGAGTGAGAGCGACGCAGCTCCCAAGGAATTACAGACGCAATTCACAAACGCTTGTTACCCATGCCCGATGGAACTGCGACAAACGTGTCATCGAGCGACCATCCCATCATGTCTGCCACCAGCTCGGCATTCTCAGGTGTGTTGTGTGGTTGTAAATAAAGCACGTCTCCAGGAGTGTAGCTAAAAGATGAGCCAGCGCACCAAAACGCATGAGTTTCACGACGACGCCGCACAACTCCAGCTGCTGACTGTGTCGCAAGTCTTACTCTGGCAACGGGCTTTGCTCTTGGGTGTCAAATACAATGCTGCGAACATCTTGAAAATGCCCCGCCGCAGTCAATCGAGCATTCTCGCGGACGGTCACGGAAATGCCGCCTGCCGCTCGTTCGTTGGCGCGATCTGTCGTCTGCAACGCATGCTCTGCCAGCCGCAAAATCGCTTCATCCGAGGCTGTTTCATAGTACGACCGTTGCTGTTGCAGATGAAGCAGGGCTGGTGCAGACGGCGAATTCAGGGACGGATCGAGCTGCCGCGTTTCGCGATTCAAAAAGATGGTCGCAGCTCTGCTTGGAGGCCTGCATTCGCGACGGATGAAAGTTGTTGCAACACGTCAGAGATTCCATCAGCTCCATGTGAGCACACGCCTAGCCAGCATGGACACGGTCAAACGCAAACTGCAAAACACACTAATCGAAAACAAAACCAAAACCAAAGTCACGGAGACATACAGGACAAACGGCGGAACGACATCCACGTTCGGCGGCTTGGGTGCAATCTTTTCAATCAGCGGCCACAGGGACGTCAGCCACTGCTCGAGGGTTGAGTCGACACCGTACGCGTCCTGGTCATCGGCGAGCGCGACATCGAGCAGCGGTTGCGCGCCAAGTTGGACAAGCCGGCGATGCAGCTTTTTCGCTGCAAAGTTGAACTTGACATAGGACGAGTCGCCCAGTCCAAGCACGGCAAACCGCAATCGCGCAAGGCAGTCGGCGGGCAGGGCTCTGCGGCACAGGAAGCGCCAAAACCGCCGCATCGAGTCCGGGTTGGCCCCTTGGCCAGTGGTCGCGCAGACAAACACGGCGCAGGACGCTTCAGGCAGCCTGTGGATGAAGTCGTACTCGTCCATCGATGCGAGCGTCAGCGTCGTCGTCGCGTTGGTGAACAGGCGTTGGCGTCGTGCGTCGCGTGCGATGCGCTCTGCGACTTCCTGCGCAGTGCCCGTCTGTTCATCGCAGTAGTAGTAGTAGTAGTAGTGGGAGTAGGAGTAGTTGAGACGATTTGGAAACAAGGTTAACGTGAGAAATGTGAGAAGCGCATCGCTGGATGCATTGGATTGACGGCTCACCTGCGAACCATACAACAGTGCAACATGTTGCATGGTGTGACTTGGTAAATGCAATCGAGCAGAATAAAAGGTAAAAATCGAGTGAGCCAACAGTAGTTGGGAGTGCATCTTTGTAAGAACGATCTCTGAGCATTTGGGTAGGTCTTAGAAGAGGATTCGATCAAAGGAAAGGCTTTGCCATGTCCCCTTGACCACTATGTGCCCCATCCAGCGCCGCCACAACACGCTATGTGATCAGTGCCATGTGTACTGCATGCCTAGGCCACCAGAGTGGGCGGAAATCGCTCCAAACCGAGGGCTGGTTTCCGGTTGGTGTTTGGCGTTCTTCATGTTATACCAGTCTTTCCCTAAGGATTTCCTGCTGCTGCTGCTGCTGCTGTTGTTGTGCTTTGTATTCATAATCCATTCATCGAGTCGTTTGCAGTGACTTTCTCAGCAGCTCACCAGGAAATTTGCGGGTATACATTTTGCAATGGTAATTTTTCCCCAGTTCACTGAGGCCACTGTGCACCACCGCCCGCCGCCCTGACCCCATCAGGTTTGTACATGACCTGGCAGCACCCCGTGGCTGCATGGGCGAGGACGGGGGACACCTGCATCGTCGTGTACGGATACCCCCTTTTTGTGTGTCGCAGCTGGTGACGAGGTCCCTCAAAACGGCACTGCAGCCCCTTCTACTGTACACCATTGGAATGAGCCGATTTTTTAGATATAGAATCATGTGCGAGACGGCCAGGAGCGAAGCGCTGGAGGCCGCACCAGGTTTCGGGTCCGTCGCGGCCAAGCCGACCGCTCGATCTCGGCCTAGACCGCACCCACCGCCGATATTATGGTCTCTAAAAATCTAGTAGATGGGTCTGGTACCTCCATTGAACGGGCGGGCCTGGGGCAGTGTCCGACTGCTGGATATGGACAGCCGTCCACGAGCCCTCAGGGCGCCGACTAGGGCAGTCCGTTAGCGCCACCTCTAGTATAGAAAGTTAGCGCTTGGCATGGTGTATATGAATCCGGGATCGGTCGGGCGGTAGCGCTCGATAGCACGAAGAAGGACTGAATCGGACTTTCGAATTTCGTCCAAAACCTGCTAGCCCCGAGATCGATGCCTTTCACCAGCTCTGCCCGTGTAATCCATACATATTCCGTTTGTTCAATGTCTGATGAGTTGGAAACCGTTATGGCGAGTGAGATGCCGCACGATGCGTCCGACTTGGCTTCTCGCTCGTATCCAGCCATGTAGACACCTAGGAGCTTGACCAGCCATATATCAATGTACTCTATACACTCTATAGTATCCGCTCTATATCGCGCGTGGACAGTGATCGTTGGTGTCTAGTTGATGCACCCGACCAAACATTCGACGGGCGTTAACTTGCGATTTCCGAGTCGCATCCATGAAATATTTTCCCAGACAACAGTAAATTAGTACTAGAGTCTAAATCATTGATGCGGAATTGCGGTGATATCTGGAGGGTGGATCACGAAGGGTCGGAAATGAACCATTTGGCGGGTGCTCGATCTTTGTCCAGCATCGTGCGATCTTAGATATCGTAACTTTCTCTGGCTTGTGACGTCCATTCGACATCACATCTGCGGAGGGGCGGATTTGGTACTAAATCATGCGGAGAGGGAGGAGCCCAAAGTTTCGCCCAACTCGCAAAACCAAGGATCGAGTGTCCGGTCGTTTTACCGGCCATCCATGCCATCACCGGTACGTGATAATACAAAACAATAGTGTTAGAGTTGCTTCGCTTTAATCCGACCGATTCCACC